CGCTGCATTTAACTGGGTTCTTTCGGTAACAAAGAGAAAGCTGAGAATTGCTGGTTTCTTTGCGTCGTTACCTTTTCTAACATATCTTTGTAATAAGAGACTAAAGTCATCAATACACTGTGTTCAATAATAGAGAAAAAATAGCACAGATAGTGCGGATGTTGAGTAAATGAAATGATCGCTCTTTGCAATCCTTGTGCGCGCGCTCAATTGCATCAGCAAAAGCGCGCGCGAAAACTGTGTTCGGCCACCTTAAGAAGATTAAATTTCCGCGAGGCAACTATATAAATAGAAAACTGAGTGTTCTTTATGTCTTTGTCGTATATTTTTCTCAGATATAGACCTGTGGGAGTATCATTACTATGAAGACCACTGCACCAATCTGCCTTCTGCTGTTAGTCCTGTTTCTCTGTTCTCTGTTTCTGAGCAACTCCGACGCCCTGGCTAGATTCACTCAACGTCGCTTTATTCGACAAGGAAAAAAAGGAAAAAGTCATGGTAGAAGATCTTCCAGCAACAACAGATCCTCCGGTAGAGATCCTAGATTCTTTCGCGAGATACACAGTAAGTATAAAGACACTCTTTAAGCGGTTTCATTCAACCCACAGGCTTTTTGCAACAGTTGGTCGCGTGACGCGCTTTTCAAGAACACACTGAATTAGTCATTGGCAATGCACAATGCCATCGTAAATGGTAAGAATATTTACGATACAAAATGCAAAATTTCAGGTTTATATCCTTAAAGAAGACGCTTTGCCCTCCAGTCACACTCCAGTGGTTTTCCAGTCATGCGCTAGTGGTAATTTTGCAAGCTGGAGCCGGCAAAACTTCTTCGCTTTCAAACATAGCCTTCGAATTTTTGTAACATACAAATCATCATAAAATCTAAACGTTGAAAGACATTGATCTGAAAATTAGAGTTCGAACGTGTTCTTTCTTGTTCTGAAATTCATTTAGCTGTGGCTAAAAGTTTAGAAAGTATCGGAGGCGGACCAACTGTTGAAAAAGCCTGTTAAAAGAGAAGGTCACTCAGGAAAACCTATATTTTTTGTCAACGCTAATAAAAACCTTGCACCAAGTTTAGCCACTCACCGAAGTTTCAGCCTCTAAAGTGCAAGTTTTCCCTATGAAATTCATCTCCAAAGAAGCCCAAAATTCGAACATCGTTGTCGCCATTTTGAACAGTACTCAGCAGCGACGCCGCGTTTTCTTTACATCATTCCGTCCGAGAGATTTTGTCCAAATGGCTCCCGACAAGCCTTTTTAACTACCACTCTCTCTTGAACCATATTATTTTGAGCCAAACATGCCCCAAACTCCGAAATGATAGCATCGAAGTTAGTAAAGTGGATAATCGCATGGAAAAAATAGAGTTTGCTGACCTTATGAAGGATGCTAAGTCAGTTGCAGGTTTCTCTTCTTCCCGCCAATTTTCGAGTCGGACGGAATGATGTCACATAAACACGGCCTGGCTGCCAAGACAGTTTCAAAATGGCAGCCTCCGAATTCATTTCCTTCAAGATGAATTTCTTAAGGATAGCGGGCACTTCAGAGGCTGAAACTTCGGTGAGTGGAAAAGCTGAATGTTTACTTCCTATGGGCAAAGACAAAAAAAAGTAAGCTTTTTGGAGTGACCTTCTCCTTTAACCTTGTGCTAGAGCGCTTTCACTCGAGTGTCGAAAATAACTCGCAATTACTTTGGTTTTGCATTACTACGCCTTGTGATTGGTTAAAAAGTCCGCGTCACTTTTCATGCATCCAATCAGAATTAAAACCAAAACCAATCTCTATCTACATACTCCGACACTTTTTTCCCGCTCTTCAATTAAGGTGCCGGCTTCAGGTATTTGGTTCAAGGTTTGATTGTCTCACTAAATTGTTCGTTCCCTTCAGTAATTGGCCCGGGAGGAGGTGACATCATGACCTCATCACGTCTCAACTGACACTGAAGAACATGTGTCACATGAATCACGAAAAGTTTTGGTTTTCCATCTGATTGGTTGAAAGACCAAATGTTTAAGTTGGTTAGACCGTGTTGTGCTAATAAAAATGATTTGCGTTCCACAGATGAGACACCGAGGAAAGAATCAAAGGTTTCTTGGTGGTGATGACGAGAAAACTCAGCCAAGACAAAGGACTATCTGATGGAATATAAAGACAGATTATTTATTTGCAATTCAACAAAAATGATCGAAACATTACAGTTTTAAAATGTTCTGATAAGAAGATTTCTTATATTTGGTGATAAGTTCTGAAGACTGGGATTTTTAAATCCGTCTTGAGGTTTAAAACCACGGTGCATTAAAGCGACTTATCTGTGTAATCAACAAATTATGAGAAAAAAGTTCTGTTGGCCTGAAGTAAAATTTTCTGTCTAAAGTTTCAATATATTTTGAAACTATAAATTAACTATCAAATGCGTCATAGAACAATAAAGCGTAGAAGTGGTCATGTTACGCCTCTAAAAGTATTTATTCAAAGAATTAAAATAAAGACTCAAAGATGTGGCAATATACAAACTTTTCTTCTTGTCGATCTCTAATAGAAATTTAACTTAACTTAACGATCACTGTACTGTCAAACACAACAAAGTTTTGGTCATTTATAAACCTTGGGTTTTACAGCCCTAAAATTATTTTTTTTCTGGGACATGAGCTTTTATCGATCCGTTGACAATTGGTAGAAAAAAGTTTCGGAGGGAGCTAAGATGAAATTAATTGTAAGACTGGCCTCAACTTATTGTTCAAGAGGCTCCCCATTAATCGGTCTTTAAACCGCAGAACTTAGCAATAAGTCTGCAACTTCAGTAAGTCAGGAGGCAAAAACAAATTTCAGGCAACAATATTAACAAAACTGGAGAAAGAAAATCAATTTGATCTGAGTGCTTGCTCGCGCATATGTGCGCTTTTGTTTCGCATACTGTATAATCATTTCCTACGAACTTCAGTTACCGTAAAATTCAGAAAGTAACGCCACCTCCCCCCCCNCCGCCCCCCAAATAACGGTTCCTCGAAAGAAGCATTAATTTTATACTTTCCTATTGAACCTCGAAAGTTACGGTCCACCCGAAAGTAACAGCCCACCCGATAGTAGCGACCAGTTTGAAGAAGTCACTATAAGACAAAATCACTGATCTCAAGCGCAATGCGGAAGGATCAGCCTGACTTCAGGACTGAACAACTTGAAGAGTTATTTGTGATTTTATTTCGAACTTAAGTGAATCTTTCTTGTCTTTCTTGAAACTGATTTATAAGCTGTATACCGCCGTATATGCCCTCCGCTGCTCTTCCACGGGGGTGATGCCCACATAAGAAGGAAAGGGGTGCCCTTCGGAAATTTTGAAAAGAACCCCAGAGGTCCCAAGATTCTGTTTTGTGGACGTGTCTTGAAATGTTTTTCACCCCTAAGGGGTACCAATTCAAAAGCAACACATTATCTCCTGTCATATTTTTTCGGCTGGACTTTTTGTGGCTTAACACCCGAAGAAGTACCAAAACATACAGCGTTTTTAACCCCTAAAAGGTACGACCACCCCGGTCCTTTTTATATGGGATTCCAACCCCCCCCCCCCCCCCCCCCACCCCCCGGTGCTCTACATCATGCTGGCTAATGAAAATTATCATTAATGAAAAACAATGAAGCTTGCCATTTGATTTTGAATGAAAAATAGTATTTGATTAGTAAATCTTATCAACAACACTTACCTGTCTCTATGTATGTATATACTTTGACGTGTATTCTTAAACGAGTGAAAATCAAATGCCAGCGTCCATACAAAGAGGCCATTAGGATATTTCTTGCTGTCGATCGATGACAGCCAAAAAAAGTGGAATCTCTATATATTACAGTCTGTCAACAGAGATGTCAATCAGTTCCAAATTCGCCCACGCTTGAATATTGGGGCACTGTGAATAAACAACTACTGCTGGCCGAACTGAAAGGAATTTTGCGGAGAGTTTAATACAGTTGTACGCAGTGCACGCTTCTGATATCGATTTCTACGTGAAGCGTGGTCGTGCAGACATCGCAAGGTCTCGAAAGATACAGGAATATTCAGTAGGTAATTCTAAAGGGGTCTTGAGGCTTATCACAGGATGTGAAATGTCTGCAGTTGTTCTAGTTCGCGGTTTGAAAAGTCATTTTGTCTCGCAGCAGTTGGAGGAAAACGGCTACCATACAAAGGTTAGTTGTACACTGGGTGCTCGTATTAAGTCAGTTTTTACTTAGTCTGACAGCTTATTGCAACAGTAGAGTAGACAAAAGAAACGTTTGTCAAATTGTGGTCGACCGCTTTTATTATAAGATTTGGTACAAATCAATTAAGATTACATACAGTACCAGTTCCGACTATTGCTCAATAGAATCAAAAGCTGCTATAGCGAACCTTTCTTTGAATACGTTTAAAGTTGATTTTCACAGCCGGCTGATCCATTCAGCTCGAAGTCTGGTATCCAGAGGGGCCCTGAAAAATACGTTAACTTCGGTTCGATGTACAAAATGACATAAACAAATGTTTAAGGATGTTTTTAATGTATTCCTGTCACGTCGGTGGACTGCACTAAACAAAACGTTTCCCTTTCGTTTTCTTTTTCTTTTTATATATATATATATGTAACTGGGGCACACGCAGATCCTAGAATTTATCTACTGTATATTTGAGATTATAAGACTTATAAAACTCTGTATTATTGTTTTGTTAACTCATTTTCGTTTCTAAAGAAAACCGAAAGACATATAAAAAGTACCTAATTATTCAGTTTTCAAAGGTTTCATTAATATAAATTCATTTACATGTAACGACATCGTGTGATTTCTATATTTTTTTTTTTTTTTTTTTCAGGTTATTGCAAAAAGAATGTTTTTTTACTTAATCTTCAACCAGAATACATTCTTATATAAATGATTCTTAAAAAAAAAGAGCGCGGTTGCCAGAAAATTGGAATTAAATCATTTTACACAACATACATTTGTCTGACAGCCTTAAAAGCATCAAAGCTAGAAGCTTGTTGCTGATTTATTCGTGCTCTACTGCTCTGACTGGTTTGGTAACGATTCACTTGCTGAGTTACCCGGCTTTTTTAACGTGCTTCAAAACACATGGTATTTGAGGAGACTAGAAAAACTACTCCCCTTGTAACAAATCTTTTATTTGGGTTCACGATAGGATTATATTTCGTCTGTAGAAAAGTTTTTTTTTTTCTGTCTCTTTAAACATTTGGCATAACCCGAGAGACAACCAGCATACAAGCGACAGAAAGGCTTTTCTCGCCTCACTGAAAACGTACGAGTCTAGTAAGAAAAAAGACCACTTCACCTTGTGTCACGATGACATCACATGCTAACATTTCACGAAACAAGCACGTGAAAGAGGTGCCCTGAAACGCAGAAGAGGTACAATGTGCGAGTTTCAATCAACCAATCAATCAATCAATCAATCAATCAATCATTCAACCCATAAGAGTTTGCGTTAGATTCAACTAGCGAGACCTCAGCTATGTGACAATCGGTTTTTAAATGACTTTTATTAAATTACATATTCACATCTAACTATCTTTCACCGTCTACAGATCGCCGAGGAATTTTGTTAACATCCATTACATTGCAAACGCTCTTTCAGTGTAAAATGTCTCCGTATATGTTTGAGGGGTGCTCACGAAGCAAATGTACATCAATATACATTAATTTCGTTAAAATCAAACTTTATACAACTGAGGGTTTCGTCTTGTCATTCTAACCTAATTAACATGATTATATTTTAGCGGATCACCATGTCAATGATTCGTTTGGCGGGAAAATATCAGCGACATCGCCTGTTGTTCGTCAGGTCCGTGAATTGCGGTCATTCTGGAATGCACAGTAAAAAGAAATGCGCCTTTTCTTCAAGGCTTACCTTCAACTTTCAACGTTATGAGAGTCGTTTTTATTTCTTCGATTTTTTTTTTTTAATTTGCTCTGTCAATTCGAATCGTGCACGATATGGAATGTAGATAGTGGGTTTTTGAACAATCTGGAATTTTGCTTTCTCTGTCAAGCCTCCCTCTTCTTTAAATCCCCAGTCAAATAAGTCAATCCCCCCCCCCCCCCCCCCCCCCCCCCCCCCCCCCCCCCCCCCCCCCCCCCCCCCCCCCCCCCCCCCCNGATATGATTAGCACTTTACGCCCACTTCCCACTCTCCCCCCCCCCCCCCCCCCCCCACCACTCCCCCCGCAACCCCACGCCCTTTTTCTGGGCATAAAGCATAGTAAAAATGACATAATTAACCGGACTCAACTCGCTCAATACCACAGAAATTGAAGCTTTTTGTCTTGATTATATTGTCCTTCAAAATCAATCAGTATTCCATATAAATGTAAAGAATTTTAATTTGAATCGCCATCGTCAAGACCCTCACTCCCTCCACCCAATCACCACCGTGCATTAAGACTTAAAATTACAAATCTCCAAGATTGTTCTTCGTACCTGTTTGGTTCCAATTCGCCACAATAATTTTACTACCTCTCAACAATAAGGGATAGGAACACACCGTTCTGTGAACTCCTTCATTTTTTGTTGTTGTTTACCTAAGGTCTCGTCCACGGCTACGCCGGAGAAATTTAAAAACGCACAATCACCGGTCATCTTGGATTTGTGTTTGAGGAAACCTCAGGCATGAAAATCACATGATTAACGTGACTACATTATTTTCGAAATGCGCCTTTTTCAAAATGTTTTCCGTCCACACGAAAACGCAAAGCCGGCGTTTTCAAATTCCTCCGGTTTGAAAAGCGTTTTCGAAAAGCCCCGTTTTCGTGACGGATTAGAGTGGACGGAAGGCCGAACCGTAGAAATAAAGTTACGTTTTCAAACTCCTTTAACGTAGTGTGGACAAGGTCTGATAATTTTGACTAGAATTTCGTCAAACTGACGGCATTCAGATCATTCTCTTCGAGTTGTAAACACTCCCATGACAATTCGAAAAACCTTGCCAAAACTACCCGCCGACTACAGAGCTCACTAACCCACAAACAAACACATGTTATTTTTCATTCACTCTAGCTAGCATTTCACAAAGCAAGCCGAAAGTAATTATGACCTCAAGCAAGGATGTAATTTTTCTTACATGACTTTAAATGTGTCAGACTTGGTAAGCATTTTGCACATTGTTATTGTAGCGTTTTGTACTGCGAGAGAGGTTCTTACTATTTCGGCACATGAAATTTTGACAAAAATTGCAAAAATCCCACTGTTTTAATTTGATGTACTGAACAATTCCTGTGGTCTGCGACAAGTCCACATCGCAACAAACAAAGAAGACTAACTGGACAATCTTGTTTTTGCAAACAACTAAACCGGTTTTCATAATTAGTCCAATTAGTCTCGTCATTGTTTTTCAAAATGTTGACGCTTTTATTTGCGCTGACCAAAGTCCGTCATAACGTCGTATAGGACAGATGGAAAACGGTCACGTTAAAACGACTAAAAGCCTTGTAGACAAAAACCTTGAAATGGAAACGAGTCCGCAGCGTGTCTTCATTGAATTACTTGTAAGTAAAAGATTTTTGTTCCTTTTTCCATTGACTGACGGTGATTTGAAATGGTTACTTTAACTAAGACTTTCTTTATTTGTTCTCGCTACTTAAAGTGGCTTTAATCAATATTACTATCATTGGCATCCTGATTTAGATCTTTCATTGCTTACCATTGAACCAATTTTAAAAACATGTACGGAAGAAGAGCAACTATTTTTTGTTAATTCACGGTGACTCTTGCCGTTTTCCATGAATGCAATAATCTCAACTCAAAAACACGTCTTCCTGGTGGTGAATGAAATGTTTGTCAAAGATCCAAGAATGACCGAGGATATATTTTTAAACATGTAAGTATTTTGTCAGGTGTCTAACGTAGCAGAGAATTTACACAATGTCTGAATGGCACACTTGCAGATCGTGCTCTTACGCAGGACAAATGTTTGCATCTACAGATATCAGAATAAGAAATTCAGTGTCTGTGGATGCGTGTCACACAGTCGGAATTGAACTAAATTGATTGTTTTAACAGAATATTCCTAATGTGGGCGTTAAAATGTCATTATAATTATGCTATCTGATAGTCCTCAATGTATATTTGACCACATTTTTTCCCAACGAAATTTCTAGAAAACCGATTAAAAAACTGTATAATATGCAGGTTTGTTCGCGCTGAGGTAAGCTTTCAATAAATTGATACTTTCAATTATCTACTCCAATATCGGCATTTTCAAATGGAGTGTTTATTTCTGAACTTCACTCTTGTGGTATACCCCATTTAACGCTGACATATAATGTTGTGATAAATGCCGTGAATAGTCAATTGGTATCACTTGAGATAACATGGAAGCACTAATTTAAATTAATTTACGGCGCGGTACAGTAAGCCTGAGGGCTCAAGGTTGATAACCTCATTTGTTAACCTGTGAGCTGGCTCCCTAGGGGGTATTGGGTGAAAAACAAATCAAACCGACTGCCATACACTTTTTTTTAATAAGTATATATACTGTTCTTATAAGAATGTATGCTCTTTCAATGTATTTTAGTCAGAAAAAACGGAAAGAACCAGAAAATAAATTGCATTTGCACGCCATTCTTTTCAGCGGTGAATTATAGTTCATTTAAAAAACATTATGCGATTTTATTGTACGTATACGTAATTTATTTTCTTTCAACACTAAAAACAATATGTTCTTAATAAAATCTCAGCCTTTGGGTATATTCTTAATATTTTCTTAACATTTCGCCAATTTCAGCAGGAATATTCTCATAAAAAAGATTCTTAACTGAAGTCTCCCTTGTAATCTTGTTCGACACCGAGTCACCCGCATCCCATTCGTGGTGACTGTCAGTGTTGAAGTGTAATTCGTTCCCTGATGTTCTTCTTGACGTGTTTCCAGGCCTTCTCCTCTCTCGCTCCGGCAGGGAGGGCAGATAAGAGACCCTAGGAACGAGGTTGGGTTCCAGGTTTCTAGTTCCAGGTTGTCTGGCTACTAGGTAAAGGATCATAATGCTAGAGGAAGAGCTGTGTTTCTGTTCGCGCTCTTTCTCGTTTAAGCTCCCCTACCTCTCCTCAGCTAGAAGCGCTTTTCTCACTTTGCATGTTAATTTCGTCACTCCTCGATCTGTCAGTCCGTCAACCTCGTTTCCAAGGTTTCTCATCTCTCCCTCCAGGGGAGCGGGGATATCAGAGACCCTGAGAACGAGGTTGTCAGTCCGTCTGCTCTTCCGCAGACAATGAAATCATCGATTACTTAAAACTAGGATTACCTTTTTAGGCGTGGAATTTAACTGGTTCGTTCACTTATTTCGATCTTTATTTGTTAATTTATTAAAAATTTATGTTTATTTTATTTTATCCACTGATGGTTTGCAACCAATCCTTGGCGGCAATATTGGATGATACAAGCAAGTTAGTTAGAAATCTTTTGAAAAGGCCATCCAATATGGCGACGATTACGTCACGAAAACTAAAAATTTAACTTCACACTGTCGGTTTCATTCCTTTATTCAGACTCAAAGTTTGAGACGTGGTAGTTACTTTTAGATTTAGGACTGTAACGTTTTTGTTGCATCAAATGCAATAATCGCTTTACTCGTATCCTTCTCTTTTAAGTCACCAGATGACAAAAAACCAACCCGACTACACTTGGAACCAGACCCCAACATGAACGCGACCAGCCAGGTGGCAAAATTCGAACCAGAATCGCCCCAGTCCCCGGGCGCGGACTCGCAGATGTCGTTTAATGTTTACGAGGCAAGACTTTCCGGTAGCGGAGATTCTTGCCTGGGTGCGCTGCTTCCAAACAGTGCGAGCAAGATAGGCTTCCTTCCAGATCACCTCACCAAGGACGGCGGCAGGATGGTGCCAGGATATTCAAGACGAATCCGGCAACTGTCTGTGTGCTTGGTACTTTTCATTGCGGTGTCTTTGGTAATGGCTGGCTTGTTCGTGTGGAGAGTGATTTATTACGATTCTGAGGACAAAGCTGAAGCAACGACTTTTAATAACAAAGAGGTAGACTGAAATTATAAAACTTACATTTCATCATAAATTATCTTGGTGTAATCTGGTCGCTTCGTAATTCTTTTTAAGACGGCACCTTTCAGGATAGAGAACATTCACTGTTAGGTACTTTCTGAAAAACGTGATATAGATATGAAATATATAGTATGTTATAAATTTCATGCAAACAACAATGATAAGGGGTAATATATGCATTATCTTCTACTATTAGTGATAATAAGTACTTTTCACCTCGTATTAGCACGAACGTAATAACTTGAAGAGTTTTTACTCGACTGCGGGTTGATTATTCGCTTTCCTTGGTTGTACATTCGATCTAAATCAGTCTCACAACTTTTCCGTGAATCTCGCGCGATACATTTTTCGACGGTTTGCCATTTGAACGTTTCAACTGTCGTTATAAAACTGGTAATTTACCAAAAATTGAAACATTTGAGTGGGTGGATTTTGCTGTTAAAGTACGCTTTCGTCATTTAATTGGAGAAGACAGGTGGGAGAACATCAATTTATGATAGAACACTAGCAAAACTGTAAAATGAACATCGCTAGCTACAAGAATTGAGACCGAATTTGTATCTGGACACACCCTACGAAATCTACTGCTTTTGGGTTTTATATTCTATTTGCCGATTTTGCCGGCTTTTTTTCGTTATTGTTTCCTGCATAAAAGGCTAAAATGCTGCATTCTTAGTTTTATTATGAAAACATACTATTAACATATTATGGGTTTCCTTTCAAACAATTGCATTGTAGAGACGAGATGAAAATACACTCTGTATTTCAAGTTGTACCTCAATACACTTCTTCTGCAAATGTTCAGCTTAATACCAGCTGCTTTCTAATGAGAACATTGAGACCAAAAACAGACAGCACTGCGTTCATATAAGCTAAACGCTAGTAAGTCTTGGTCGTGAAAAACTACCTTGGCTAACTTTCCTGAATTTTGTGCGTAGTGTTAATGATCTTTCTAAGGTGTTAAAAGAGTTCATGTTTGAATCGTTTTGAAAATTGCATGTAGTCACTAAATAATTGACATTAATTTTCAAAGAGAACTTTTTGCTGCTACCACTCAGAACAGTGGAAAGGTTTCTTTTTACGGCAGCTGTCAATTTCCTCTACGTATACTTTGACGGTTGATTTTCAAAACCATTTAGATCACAAATTTGAAATAAAAAGTCCTCATTATTTACACAGGGCAGCCAGACTGCGAGCAAGTCTTTTCAAAAACAAATTGTGTGCGAGGAAGGAAGCGACAATTTTAAATAAAAATTAATTTAATGGACTCGCTTTTCGATAAAGTTTATTTTCCAATAGGTACGGCAAATAATCCATGCTTTTCAGTATATTATTTATTGGTGAAATAAAAAGTACGGTTTTTTATTGACCTTTGAGAATAACTGCACGTTTGAAACTTCATCTTGAAAGCGTTGAAGGTCAATGATAATTTCGTTATTATTTCTAGAACCTGATTAGGGGTTCAATTTCTGTTTGTTTAGAAATCAACATTGTCAAATCCATTGTGTTCTATTGAGATTAAATGTATTTTCTAAGCGGGTGATATTCAAACAATACTTAGGAACATAACTGCATTTATTGCAATACAGTCCGGAAGTAACAAGATCGTGACAAACGCCACCGAAATGAAGTTTGTTTTGTGAATCCCGCTAGGAAACCAATATAGTGCAAGTGGAAAAGCAACGGCAGCTGTCATACACCGAACCTTTTTCAAAACTGACACGAAAACATTTAGTCTAGAAATTTCTACTTGACTAAACTCCTAAGTAAAATCAAGGTGACATTCTCTTAATTATTATACATGTTTTTGGCCAAAAAAACTATTGTGTATTGAAAGCGTCAGTTTTTCTTTTATCTTGATGCAATTATCTGCAATTAAATGAAATGTTAGTTTAAGAAACATATCAAACCAGAGCGACCTACACTTTAGAAGAGTTGCAACAAACCAGTTTCGGATATTTTTATGTCTGACAGATATACGAAATCTTTATTTAAAAATGTGAATCCGACTGTCATTGTTGTTAAAAAATATTTGGGTAATGGAATAACGTTCATACTTCAATTGAGACATTTGCATATTTTAGAAGCCAAAAGAAATAACACCCTTCTGCCTGGGGCAACTTGAAACGGTAATAAGTGATCGTAAACCTTGTCATGGTAGCGCAGGCGCGCGTTGTTGAAAGCTGCTCACTCCATGACAGCCAAAGCAGCGATTCAGTCCGGGCAGCAGGTGTCCCTAAATAGGCGGAATTACATGTATGTTTCGACTCTGTGAAGAGACTGCAGAAACTAATGATATTATCGATAGCTTTTTTACGATAACTGCAGAAATTATCTCGCGCTCATTGGCTAATTTTCGTTGTCAATAAGCGGACAGACACGTGAATTTATAATTTATGCGATGCGTCAACGAGCGAGGACGGGTAATTTGACAATTTGTTATCGTGAAAAACAAATTGACGTCAGTTTTTAATGCGTCTATCCTGTTGTTGACAATGAATTTCGTCACAACATTGTCAAAGTAGTCTGCGGATCCACAGTTACTTTGACAATGTTATGAAGAAATTCATGATCAAAAACGGAACAGACGCATGAAAAACTCACGTCAATTTGTTAAATCGACTTTATAAAACAAAACGGGAAAATCAAATGCTGGAGATGCTATGGTATGTCGGGTCATGATTGGTCCATGTAGTCAATGCAAGAAAGCTGTTCTCTGATGATTTCAGTATTTAACATCAGTTTTGAGATTTTAATGACGACTGCGTGCCGCCAGTCGATGTTTCTCTTTTCATTCGCTGGTTGTCGGCTTTTTTGAAAACAGCGTAATTACACCAGGTGCAAAAATGCGAAAACCTTAATTATGCAAATAATTCGATGAGAAGTATTAAATTTCCTTAAACTTAAAATGTCTCGCAAAAGATTGTACTGATTAGTGCCATTTATCTACCTACATCACTAAATGATTTAGCGATGTATGTCGATAAATGGCACTTTTAGCCGCTAGTGTGCAGTGTCGTTTTCTGCTGTGAATTTTTCGTTGTGGCCCCTTCAAACTTCCGACTTACAGCCTTCTTGCAATGAATATACCTTGATTGGTAACGGTTTCTTTCCAATTTTGAGTAACTTTTGTCGCCGACTGATTAATTACAATTAATGAGTCTCAGAGGAATCGTGCGTGCTAGACGTATTATACGTATAAGTAAACACGAAAATAATGTGCGTTAAACGTTAACTGAGTTTACCGAACTACCTTATGTAGAAAGCGCGCGGAGCATGGCTAATGGTTTCCTTTCTAGACTCTGGTTCACCTAGTTCAAACCTCAGGGATATAACCGTAGGGTATAAGGGGATTATTAGGCCAACCTGACAAAATATTGGAGGTAACTTCCAGCCCGGGGGTATACCCATCTCATGCCGTATCACTAACCCCTCCTCATCTCATCGCATTGTATAAATTGTGTCCTTAGGATCCGAAAACCTACTGTCCTGTCCGAGCGAAAGCAGTTCCTTTGAACATTCTACCCAAAAGCATTCAAGATGCACTGACCGAAATTGAGGAGCGGCTGAAGAAGGCAAACACTAAGGATGATACGGTAGGACAAGAATGATATCAATCAGGGTTGTTCACTGGACTGCGATTTAAAAGTTCGAAAGTTTGGACAATTTATAGCATTGGCGTGAACAACAAGTTGATGGATGTGAAGCCTTGCCATATAAAAACGTCAGTACAAATCTCAGTGGTTTGAAATTGGCAACCTTCTGATTTCATTATGCTTTTTCTATTTCTCTTTGACAAGGTCACGTGAAAGGGACCTGCAAAAAGTCTATTGTTTTCCTATTTTGTTTATTTTTGTTTGTTTGTTTTAAAATTAACAAATTGACGTCAGTGTTTTATGCGTCTGTCCTCTTATTGATCATAAATTGCGTCATAACATTGTCAAAGTGGCTGTGGAACCACGAGCTGCAGGCAAGTGGTTCCGCAGTAAACTTTGACAATGTTATGACGAAATTTATTATCAATAAGAGGACAGACGCATAAAACACTGACGTCAATTTGTTTTCTACAATAACAAAACCTTAAAATGCTCAAATGCCGGGAATAAATGATGGGGAAGAGACGCCGTAAACTTACCGTAAACAAAGATAAGTGAATTTTATTCAAAATGACGCGAATATTGTCAGTAGCGTTTCTCCCTTTTTGATTGGCTACTTAAAAAAGTCCGTAAAACCTCATTGATCAACAACAGATCAACAACAACAGTTTATTTTTTCTACTACTGTAAACAACTAAAAGAATTTACAAGAATTTATCGCAGTTTGACGGCTGAAAGGTGAACTTGAGAGCTTGCAGAAATTAAAATTTTACTCGTCTGTATTCTTAATGACTATAAAATGAGCCAAACAGCGCGCGAGAAATTAGACAGTTATTGTAAAACAACTGTTTGCTTTTGGGGGAGTTCGCTTGTTAGTTCGTCAGTTATGCTCTTACTTCGTAAACAACAGCTGTCGCTAACCAACCGTATACATGTATATGGCACAGGTTCCAGAAAGTGTTGTCTTGATTCACCCAATAGGTCTCCATCATGGCTAACGTTGTGTACATGGACAAAGTGATTTGGGAACGTTCATTTGGTAGAATGAACAACTCGAACCCCACAGCGCCAAAACTCTCCAGTAGTACAGTGTTCCCTATAGCAAGTGTTACCAAAGTTTTAACGGTAAGTTTAACAACCGTCAACAGAACTCTGATTATTTTCCTAGTTGCTTGTGCACTTGACTCATCTACGTCTGCCCTTAACTGTCGCTCATAAGCCCTCCCGCTTATAAGTCCCCCCCCCCCCNTGCACTTGACTCATCTACGTCTGCCCTTAACTGTCGCTCATAAGCCCTCCCACTTATAAGTCCCCCCCATGTTTATAAGCCCCCTCTCGGGTTAAAATGAAAGAAATTCGATTTACTATGTTTTAGCACTAAATTAAACTTCCAGTACATGAAAAAACGTATTTCGATCAACACTGCTGTAGCTCATTGCCAAACAATTTCAGTTTCTTATTTCGCTAATAAGCTCCCCTGCGAATACACGCCCCTCCGTTTAAAAGCCCATCAAAAACCCCTTACGAAGTTGTAGAAACCCAGGGCTTGTGAGCGGCAGTCCTAGCTCGCGCCAGTCTCCTGTCGGCTCACTACTAGAGCTTCCTAATGATGTACGGAGGGTCAAAGATTCCACTCGTGTTTGGAGAACTCAATGACATTTTTATCAATTAGCATATGTCGCGCTGACTTGACCATCTCCATCAAGATCCATTTTAAGGTGGTTTTCAATACACTGTCGTAAAAGCAAGTGAACCAATCTGGCCAATTATAAAGAACACAAACAAGGCAGCGAACCAATCAAAACACGAAGCAAATACATTTAGGTGGCACAAAGCGCGAGAAAACCAGGGCATGCGAGGGAGTTGCGAGTGATTGGTTTTGGTCTTAACTTTGATAGGTGGAAAAAGTGGCGTGACCTTTTTTCAACCAAAAGCGTATTAATTTAAATCAAGAGAAGGTCAGGGTAACCTTTTACCTTGATCTTATCTAACTTTCGACACTCAATTCTCAAACTCATTAATAACCCATCAAGTTAATACAAAGAAAATCACAACCGTGAAGGAGTTTAATTAGCATAGATTTTGACGATTTTGCTTCCTCCATTTACTCCTTAGATTTTTTGTTTCGATCGAGAAGATATATCAAAACACTCGAGACAGTGTTTCATCGGCTATCCAAGGCTAGCAAATGTTTGGTGGGACACTGACCGTGTAGCAATCTCCTAGAGCGAGGACAGTACTGAATATCAGTCTATATAAAACATAAACGGCACACAGGCACACAGCAATAATTGTCAGTCTTTTTAAAACGAATTATTTATAACTGTTATTGGAAATGTGTCTGTTTTGGAGATGAATTGTAGTGTTGTTGTTGTTGTGTTTATTCAGGCGTTGATGCTCTACAAGCTTTATTACGAGAAGAAGGTTAAGTCGCTGGATGATCCATTCACGAAGTATATGCCAAAGTTCTCAATAAAAGATCCGTTCAATTCTTACGAGATCGTCCTGAGGTAGGTCAGTGTAGCAGTACCTAATACCATTACAGATTGTCTGTCTGTCGATCACCTGAAGCAATCGATAATATTGATTTATTGATCGATCAACTCTTTATAAGTTTACAAAAAAATGGCTAGGATTTCTTTGAACTTTCGGAATACTGTTAACTCTTGTTGCGAAAGAACTAACTTTACCTGTTTAATTAGAGCTTATACCACTCAGTGAAACAAATCCAGTTCCTAATAAAGTTTTGAACTAATATCTGCAAAGAGTGCTGCGGCAAAACAGAGATGTTGTTCTTCTCTATATTTTTGTTCCTTAGGCAAATGGTTACTCACATGTCTGGATTTCCAAGGGAGGCGCCATGTTTATCTCAGAAAGGACCGATGCTTTGTCCAGATAACAATACTGTCATGTTAGAGAGAATAAGGAATCTTACGCTTATTGCTCAACCAGGCGATAAAGTCAGTTACAGGTCTGACATTTGTTATATCTATGTTTCAATTAAGTTATTTTAACGTTTTCATATATATATGTAACTGGGTTACAAAATTTGAAACACTCAAAAATCGCTCTTATATTTTCCAGTTTATAATGGTAAATTAGATTGTTGACAACGGTTTTACGTTATCATGAAGCAATTTAGGTTTTGGACTTCTTGGTCAAGGACTGGCCTTCTCCCAAAACACTTCCTATGAAGACTGGACGCGGAAAAACATTTTTGATCCACTAGAGATGCATGATTCGGCATTCAAGTTAACTCCTGAGTAAGTACCATCTATTGCTAATAAATTAATGTGAAAAAAAATTCTTTATTACTGAACTTCAGCTAGTAGCTAAGGCCCCATCCACACTACATCGGAGGAGTTTGAAAACGGTGGTTTCACTCTGAAAACGCATCAAATGTTTTCCATCCACACTACGCCGTAGAAATCTCAAAACGAGAAAATCAGCGGCCATCTTGGATTTGTGAGAAAAACTCAGTCAGGGAAATCACATGATTGTCGTGACGTCATCGTTTTCGAAAAGTTCCGTTTTCAAAATGTTTTCTGTTCACACTAAAACGTAAAGCCGGCGTTTTCAAATTCCTCCGCTTTGAAGAGCGTCTTTGAAAAACTCCCTTTTTGTGACGGATTAGTGTGGACTGTAGGCCTAACGGTAGAAATAAAGCTGCGTCTTCAAATTTCTCCGACGTAGTGCAAACGCTGCCTTAGTTTTCTTACTGAACTTCAGCTAGTAAATAATACTTGGTCCGATTTCCGCGCGTCATGTTTTCAAAAGGAATTCAAAATTACATGACACTTTTTAGTGTACGAAACATGAACAAGGGTTGATGAGTGCAGGAACTAGATGGAGGATAGTTTCCAACTCAACTGAAGCAGTTGCAGGGTATTGATTTAAGAGTCAGGTCTTACACAGGGTATTGAATTTTTGGTCAGGTCTTAAATAGGGTTGGGAAAATCGCAGATTTTGGTCTTAAACAGGATAAGAGTTTACCTCCACCCGATTTTTTCTGAGAATAACCACGAGGAACTACGAACCAAGAATGCCAAATTGCCTATTAACGCTATTTTTGAAGCACTTCCTAGATAAGTTGTACAGATTGATTCAAATAGTGCTGTGTGTTGCCAGAACAAAACAGTTATTAAAGATAGCACCTGCCACAAGACTTTCGGTCCATGCGTATGAATCCGCAAATCTTTATCTCTACAGGTTAAGACGGAGAATTCCCGTGGGGTATCTGAAAAAGAAACCCCAGGAGCCGGTTGAATGGGGCTGGGCAAACCCGGCGGGAGGAATGTTCACCTCCCTAGCAGACATCGCAAAGGTAACGTTGAAACTATCAGTAAATTGACCCTTTACTCGTTTGAACATTCTTTAAATAACGCAGTTGGTTGAGTGATAAGGGTGTCAAAGGTTGATAACCGGTATACAGTAAAAGACCGCTTGTAAGTGGTTTAGCCAAGCAAGATCAATCAGGTTCTTATATGTCGGTTTCAGTTAAACGACGAACTCTTGTTATAGAGGAAACACTACTTATAATTTATGTAATCAGTTTTGTTAGGCTGGGAATAACACAGTTTTGAATAAATACTTTATATTTAAGGACCAAACCCAAGTTTATTTATTTTCCTGGTAATCAACAACTATATCTCCTTTATTGAAATTAAGAACCTACTTAGCTAAAATGCCAATTGCTGGTTTTCAGTGTCACGCAATTCAAAATAGATTAAAATAAAAATCAAAACCGGTCAATAGATTAAGTCCAGAATCTAAGAATTGAAAGAAGGTNATTTGTATGAATATTAGTTTTCAGCTGCTCTTATACATCATTTAAGTAAAATTTCAGGAAGATCAATAATTTTGTAGTTCGAATTTTAGTGACGTCATGTGAAAACCAGCAATGACTACCCCAAAATACAAAAACCTAATTTGCTAGACTTCACAAAATGATGGTTCTTATACGTGGGTTTTTATTGTATCTCGAATCAGTTCAAATGTTTCCAGCATCAAAATCACTTCTACGATCGATCAATAATCTCAAGACTTTGATACAAATTTTAATTGTTGTCTCCAGTTGGAAATAAAACTTTTCGATTCAATGGAAGAAGATGACTTTCTTTCGCCTGTTATGACGGAAGAATTTTTCTCTCCAGGTAAGTAATCGAATTTTATTTTGAGTTTGCTGATTTTGTCGAGCTGCGGCGTTGATTAACAGATCCCGAGTTGTGAAAAATGTTACAGCGACACATCAAATAAGAATTTATTATCCAACTGCAGCGAATACCGTCCAAATAACAGTACAAATATACAGTAGAAAACCTGTTTGCCGGACAGGTCGGCGCGCGCACGCAAAACTGTTACACTCTCCCTCTTTCACTGATAAATTTATTGACTACAGCAGTTGGATAATAAATCTCTTATTAAATGTTTTGGTATGTATTATCGCTTTATATTTTTACTCGTTCTGTCGTTGTTTGTATTTTGACTCGCCCTAATTAGGGCTCGTCAAAATACGGCACAACCCGTCAAAATACATGATTCTACGCACCAAAACATCTAATAAGATACATATATTTTTAGCTTGTAATCCAATTGCTTATTTTATTTTTAGTTTTCTGTATTTTGGGGGCGTTTCTAATAAAACAGTTATTCTACTCGCGCTTGTTGGATATTGGATCATTATCGCTGTATGCGACTCGTTGGCTATCTACCATCTCATATCCAACGCGCACTCGTGGAATGATTGTTAAGTATCCATTCGATCTGACCGCGTGAGCTCGCGATGCGACAGGTCTAAAGATCAACGGTGTTGGACAAGTAAAACGTTATTAGACTCTTAAGCATATAGAAGCACTCTGAATTTTTCACTTTGTCGTTTTTATTTTGCCGGATTCACAAGACTCGTAAACTGACAGCACAGCGATACCACACCCATGTTGCATATATATAAGGAAAACTGCATTGAATAAATGTGATCGTCACCTAGGATATATATAGCATGTCTTGCTTTACCAACCATCTCGCAATTGTCAGAGCTGTAATCAATAGGCATGAAAGGTAACCACTAAGAATGATTAACATTTCAAATTTCTTTTCGACTTTAGCCTACATCCTGAATGGCAAACAGTTCATGGGATCTCCCTGGGAGATGTACCTTATGAACGGTTACCTTGCAAGAACAAAAACAGGTTACATGTACGGCTATACATCAAACATCTGTTTGTTTCCTGAGCTGAAACTAGGTGAGTTCTAGCTTTCCGTGAGCAAAACATACACTGAACTCCGACGATGCCTCTCTCTACCCAGGTGAATAATTAGAAACTAACGAGAGACTGACCAAAGTTTGATAATAGATAGATCTGCAATGCATGCAGATAAGAGTAACAATGATGGTATATACGTTAACGAAATCATTCCATGCGAGCTGCGTTTATATTCTGATTTAATTTCTGAGATAATTAAAATCATGTTGATGAATATTCCTTTTTTCAGCTTTCAACATCTTCAACACAGGAAGTTTAAATGGTCTTTGTACGGATTTAGCGAGCAAGCTTTTAACGGCATTTCACGAGGAACTCATAGCGAGGGATAAGAAGGTGATCCGATTCATTTTAAACTTACAAATTGTAGCGTGACATTTATGATAAGCAATAAGCGACAGACTAATTCTTACAACAGGGAGAAGAAGGCACAAAATAGATAAATAGGAGGGTAACTGATGACCTTCCCTTGCATTAAATTGAAATCGCAAATCACGCATCGCACCAAAATAAGCGGTCAACGGCATGCTCTTAAAAAATTACAGATGTGTTTGCTCAAAGGCGGAGAGCGGAGAAGGAAACTTTCAGGTTAACGCCTTGAAACATACCCTACCCCAATCTCGCCAAAATTAACCACGGGCATAACCTTGCTCTTCCAGAGCACCTTCTTGGCTGGTGTGTCCCAACATGCCACCCTCTACTCCCTTCCAAATTTCATAAGCTTCTCCTGAATCGAATCTCGGCTCTCATCGAGTAGGAGTCTGGGGCCGGGTTACTGTAGTCCAACTGTTAACCCTTTACTTTCTTAGGAAAATGGAACGAAAACCATATATATGAAAGATAAGTGCTATAAACTAGAGACAGTCGTCTTCTCCAAGGTCCAAAAAAGCCGAAACAGCTCCAATGAGACATTATTACGCCATTTTCTCCTGGCGAAGTCTTACCCTTCGATAATTCTATGTTAATACTATCACAATTTTTAGCCACATAAGACTGCTACGCCGGAGAAATTTGAAAGCGGGATTTTCACTCTGAAAACGCGTCAAATGCTGTCCGTCCACTACACCGGAGATATTTGAAAACGCAACAACCACCGGTCATTTTGGAATTGTGTTTGAGGAAAAATCGGACAAGAAAATCACGTGATTTTCATGTCGTTATCGTTTTCGAAAAGCTCCGCTTTCAAAGTGTTTTCCTTCCGCGCTAAAACGCGAAGCCAGCATTTTCAAATTTCTTCGGTCTGAAAAGCGTTTTCGAAAAGCGGCCTAAACGTAAAAGTAAGGATACGTTTACAAATTTCCTTGAGCACAGTACAATCTTGCTGAGAATTAACGATTTCTATTGTTCAATTTACAGAAAGAGCATACAATCTCAGAAGAGGAAGCAGCGCCATATTTAGGAGAGTTTTATACGAAAGATGTGCCCACAATTCGCAGAGTGATCATAAAGCACCAAGAAGGACAAATGCTTTTTTTCGTGGATAAACTAGAGAAACTTCTTCTTAATCGTCTCAGTGGAACAACTTTTGAACTTCTTGACCGGAGAAAGGTCAAATGTATATTAATAGTAGTAATGGGAATCAATCACGAGAAAGTGCACTTTGACGCTCCTGGAAATTCCACCGGTTGGATTTCTCCCGGATTCACAGTGTTTGGATTTCATCCGCGAGGCAAAGCCTACTTCTACAGAAAACAGTTATGAGATCATTGTCTTGCTTTACCTGTCTCGCTGTGCGAATTGTTCTCAGCAGTTAACTTTTTTTTTCTCTACGTTGTTCAGTTTCCATGTTTGCACTGAACAAGGATAATAGTCATCGCTAACATGAACCTTAAACGAACTTCAAAGTTTTCAAAAACAAGCATTTCATTCCTTATCCTAGAGAAAACTTTCTGTAGAATCCTGACAGAAAAGAAATAGCTTTAAATGGAACTGGTAGCAATGAACAGGTCTCGAAGCCCATTATCTTCTGTCGCGGGTTAAACGCCCGACAAGAATTCAGTTTAAGCAGCTTTTAAGGCCCAGGTCAAACGTTGCACTTCACATGAGACGAACTAAATTGCAGTTTGAATCGATCCAAACGTGTAAAGCTCGACCGCTGGGTCAAACGTCGAACTTACATCGAATCTAGATCTACATTCAGTCGGACGAACTCATTTGAGTCAAACGTCGAACTTATGATGAATTTGATGCTCTCAGTTTAGTTCGTCTCGTGTGAAGTTCGACGGTTGACCTGGGCCTAAGATTGGTGATGTATGTTTAGTGAGAAACATTTTTAGATGGGCACAGTGCGATGGTGGAGAAGTGAAGTCGAGTCGAGTCCATTTTCGTGACGTGTTCTTGACCGCGAAAAATGGCGCTTCACTCCACTCAGATGTAAAAATATATCGATGCACCTCGTACTACTAGAGAAAATTCAAATAATATGTAAATATGTATCGAAAAAAGCTAATGTATTAGAAAATATTGTTCAATATGCTGAGGATAAGCTGCGATGGACTAGCAGTCCATCCACGAATGTAATAAACATTTCCTAAATATCGTTATCCAGACGGAGAGCCAATCCCCTAAAATTGTAGAATGGATGAAGATCAGTTCATCAAGAATTTCAATAATAATAATAATAATAATAATAATAATAATAGGTACTGTCAGACATACCCGCTTTGTAGGTATGGCTAACATTTACAATTACCCTTAAGAGGCACCACATTGGTTGCATCGAATGCCTCGTGCACAGGTATAAATATTCATATCATTTTATGCCTTTCTGTTTCCTTGTAAAACTTCTACGCTTTTAGAATCTACCTCATTAAACCATGAAGTGTAATGAATGAAATGTGATAACTGATAAATGTGAATTAGCCTTTCGATGGAAATGTTGTCATATGCTAGAAAACGTCTAGTAAGGTAGACTCCTTCACCAAATCAACTAGGGGATGGACCATTGTTATTTGAGTGGGGGTGGGAGATGAGCAACTGTCTTAGGCAAGCCTTAGGTTGTGCATACTTGTTTGGGAGGGGGTGGGGGTAGGGTAGGCAATAGGTTGCGGAAGAATGCTGTTTTAAAACATCAAATTAATATAGGATCTGGTTAGTAGGAAGCACTTGCTGTACAAGAATTGTTTTTTGGAGAAAAAAACCCAAATGATAAATGTGACCCAAACCCCCCTCTTTCACCACCACCCTCAAAAATATAATGGTCCGTCCCTAAGAACATTCTCATCAGTTTTATTGAGAGTAGCCTGTGGTGCAGCCGGACGTGTCGCAACTGAATCCTCGATATAGTGCGGTGGTGTAGCTTGTCTGTCACGCAGGGTATAATTTAAAGCAGTCCCTCCCAGAGCTTCATACTACAGAACCCAGAAGATAAGTAAGAGAAAATACCGTTTAAGGAGGCAATAAGCAACTTTGAGGGTACTTTCGAAAGTAATTGTAGGCATTGTTTTAGCGAATGTCATAAGAAAATCGGTTTTTGCGAATGTATTAAAATAGCGACATTCTCTCCACTATTGATTAGCTCAGTATTGTGCATAAATGTACATACTAAATTACAGTGCAATATTGATGAACTAAAGGGGCAGTGGGAATGTTACTAGTATAATTGGCTTTCAAGATTGTGTGTCATTGCTCGCTAGTGTAAAGAGACTGTTGACGCATCAAACCCGGCTGTGCAAAATAAGTATTAGCTTACGATTTTCTCTTTTTTTTCTTCCTTTTTTTTTTCATTTGAGCCCAATAAACAACCAAAATCGGTTTGGAAGAACCGTTTACAGGAGTTTGAAGATAACGTGAAAGAGCCAGGGAAAGGCAAATGATTTCCACCTGCAAGCTTTCCGGCTGTCTTCAGGTAAAACTCATTGTGGCTCGAATGTTTACGTGGCCAGACTGGAAACACAAGAGAAAAATTTCTATTTCATGTAACCTTTTGAAATAAAAAGGCCAAGGGAACTTACTCGTGTGTTTTCATTGGGCTGTTTCAAGCAGTTTGCATTGGACAGTGTTAACCGGAGCGACTTTTTTTCTGTTTCTCACGGTGATCAGTTAGTTCACGGGCGGCGCAAAGAGAGATGAATAATCCTGTAGCCTTCTCGTCCATAGTGACTGATCTTTGAGCCAAAGGAAGAGGTTAATTTCTTCTATAAAATGGTTGTGGTTTTGGTAAGCCTCGGTTAACCTTTGGTTAACCGTTTAGTCAGGTTTTATGGCTGCCGTGACGCTAAATAAGCCTAAGTTTTGCCAAGAAAGCTTTTTTTACCAAAAGGAGAGATTTTTCGAGGTTTAGGCACAAAACTGGGCAATGTTTCAACTCTGGGCATGCGCATGAGCCAGGCATAGTGAACCATTTTACCACCGTTTTTGCACCAAAACTGATAACGTTGTTTTTCGACTTGCGACATCGGAATGTCGTCGATATCTAAACCTGATCATTGTAGGGAAAGGCCTAGCCTAGTACTACCATATGCTTATCAGTAATATCTGGTGATATTCAAATTGATACGTCACAAGTGTTACAAAGAGCACGACCATGAAGTGGCCGCATAGGGCTACTTGGGCGTCAAAAGGTTAAAAATTAATTTATTTAAAACAATCTTCGCAGCGCAGCAACATTTGGACCATTATAGGATTTAAGTTTTTAATCTTATTGTAATTAATATACTCGTGTCTCTCATAATTTTAGGTTTTTAACTTTTATTATATTATTTATTTGTATTCATAGTTTTATTTTCTGAGAGCGACAAGTTTATTAGCCTTTGGCTATTAAGTGTTTAAAGGTAAAGGTAGGTAAGGTAAAGGTAAATAAAATAAAGTCTTTATTATTAATGCGCGGAAAGTTAGTAATGCGAATTGACCAGTGGGAGTAAATTAAATTATAAACGTGTTGGAATCCTACGAACTATATGGCCCAACGAGGCTTTCTGCAGGTAAAGCATTAAAAACGCTTTCGAGCCAATCTCGTCCCTGGGATTAGCGATGACCGAACGCTCGACGCTCTAGACGAAATCAAAAAGCCAGAACCAAAAACTCTGGGTTTCCAGTTTGAGTGTGCGCACTCATTTAAGTTCAATAACAGTTTCTGAACATGCGTAAACAGAGTAACCGCTGTAAGTAATGCTGGCTCATACCCACTTTCCAATATTTCCCAGAGGTCTCAATTTCACGGTGCTAACCAAGAGATCACGGTCTCGGGGGGACGGGATTGCCCTTTCCCGTGAACCTTTGTTGTAAATAAATCCCTATATGGGATATGATTGTCCTCCTTGTATCGGGGGCGAAGTGTCATAACTACTCAGCCATGCATGACGACGGAGAAATATGTAATACAGCGATTATTGCGTTTTAATATAAGCGGACAAGTGTTATTGTTTTCGGTCAAAGCATTGTTCGGGAAAGCTAAGACAGTACATGCTAGTTTTAGCAACTTAATTAAAGTGGGCATCGAGAAAGTGGATAACATGTGATAATGATTTTATCCTCCGTCAAGCAGACCGCAGTCAGCTTTGATGTACATCAATTAACGACAGCCCAAAGTGTATCCATAACGGTAATCTGGGTTAAGTGAGCACGAGTTACAATAGAAAGTCCATAAGGATGTCATCAGCTTCGTGAAATAAGGAAACCATGCTTAAAAATGAAACAAGAAACTGCTTGAGGTGAAAGTAACAAGACTCCGCGGCCGATGTAAACTAGATCTCTGACCAGGACACTGCGGTGTTCCAAGCGGGAGAGCAGCACCCTGGATGACATCAACACATTTACTGCATATAATTTCACGGTGGTTTCACAAAGGCTTGTTTTGTGATTAATCTTTCCTTGCCCTGAAAGCAAATACGTACAACTTCATCACGCTTCGTGATTTTATCTGTTTCTCTCGGGGAACAGAAAACATTACCGCTTTTCTGCCAATCTTTAAGGTAACCAACTTAACTTGTGTGTAAGTAGTTCATGCGTACAGTGGAAACTGTCAAGTTTCTGTTGATCATGGTGTTGTTTGTTAGTTTTACGCTACAAAACAACATCGGCTCAGCATTCAGTGCCTTTAAAAGCTCCGTCGCGTTGCTTGTTGTGTAAATGGGCGCCACCCTTTCTTGTTGTCAATCTCTCGAAATTAATTTTAGCCTCCAAAGATATTTTTCACGTGCTTCGCAGGCACTCGCAGGCTCTCGCAGGCTAATTGATTTAACACTTCAGACATCGCATGAGGTTAAGGGTTCCCGTGTGTAACAAGTCTCCGAGTAACGTAAATTAACCATTGCTAGACAAACATGCGAACATGATATAACAAACAGAAAATTAAACCATTGCAGCAATTTAAGTTATACAACTGCTTTTAACAATTGTTAACAGGAAGCCAATTTTGAATGGGTTGTTCGACGAACCAGCTATGTTACATTAGTGCACAAATATTCTTGTGATAACATTGTTGTTAACCATTTGCCCCGGGCAATAAGTCATATTCAATAGTTGTTATTTTGCAGCAGACATATTTTAACCACTAATAAGGCGAGTACAAATTCTCCGTACTCAATTCCAGACGTTAATCATAGTACTGCTTGGGAGAATCTCGCTTGTGGTCGGTTCCGTTATCAAATGTGTGACCCGCCTTTTTGCAAGGCGGAGAAAGATACGAAGACATGATCTGTTCATGTCTTTGCTGACCTTTTTGTTGATATTTCATAAGAGATTAGGATTCAATCGGCTCTAAACACTGAGTAGAAAAAGCTCATTTGAATTTCTCCGCTATATTCAGTATCCTAGGCCGCATGCATTTTTATCATTTCTGTGTCACTATTTTTAGCCCGTGTGCAGTATGCAGGTTAAGACATTTTGAGCTCGAAAAACAAACCTTGTGGTTCTATTTCGATCGAAACACGAGAAAAAAAAATTACATAAACAATCAAGGTATACAGAAATTATTTTTCCTTCCTTCAGTTGATGATATTTTTTTTTGTTTTGTTTTGTTTTGTTTTGTTGTTTTTTTCGTTTTGTCATTGGCAACTTTGTTCGTTGCCGAGACCACGTGCACCGCGATATTTTACATATTTGTGAAAAAATCTTCTGGCGACTAAAAAGCAAGAAACTCTCCTTCCGTGATAAAACTGAATGAACAATGTTTTTATTATTTCTGCCTTCCTTTAAACAAAAGACTGCTAGTGGTCGAATTTAACAAAACTATGGAACCCTGATGAAAGTAAAATCAACGAAAGCTAAATTGTTCTTCTGCACTCGATCTCTCAGGATAAAATTGATTAATTACCATGATTACTACTTATACTTTGTGCTCAATATCTATTGAATATCAAAATTATCGATTGCTAACGCCGGATTCATAGATCTGATAGCACCAGTAAGCAGTGCTTTAGCTAATTCAATTCAAATTTGTTCGTGATCAAGTGACGACAAAGAAGTTTGAGTAAACCGAATCAAATCCACCAATAGGAACGGCTGAACCGGGAATCCCTCACAAATCTGTCTTCACGTCATTCAGGGCATTTATATCAGCAGCGCACAAAACGAATCTCTACTGGAAATTTATTTGTCGGCTCGTTGACGGCGTAACAGTTTCTGTGATTTATTTTTGTTCGAAATTAAAGAATTTGGTCCTAAATTGTGTGTGTCGAAACTCAGTAGTTCGAAATAAACAAACGGTTTCAATTTTTTTTCGGATTAAATCCCGATTGCTCCCGAAAAGACCCGAAAGCCTAATAGGGTTCCGTGAATTAATTATCTTCATAAAGCTACATTGTAACAACTCCCACCTGACCTTTTAATTCTTTATCTGACGCAGCACATTTTATCAATTGCGTTGTTGCGAGAAGAGCCTGGGGACGGGGTCGAGGTTACGACAATCTCTTAATTTAAGTCCACTAAGCGCGCTATCGTGGCTCTGACGTTCAAACGCTCATTAATCGATCTTTGTTTAAGTCACACACACCTTCAAGATCTCGGTCAAAATGGCTTTGGAGGGAATCTACTTCAGTTCCCCGCGGCTTCAGAAGCAGTATCAAGCAGGTACAAGTTGGTTGTGTGATGTGTTATGCTTTGATTCTAAGGAATGTGTCTTCAATTTTCCAATGTTTACACTTCACTGAGGGAGCTAGCACGAGATGTTTTTCACCTATCGCGGACAAATGGCAAGCCAAAAGCTTGTTTTGACACGGTGTCAGTTTGAACACGGCGTCACCAAGTTCTCTCTTACCGGCAGAGATTAAATAATTTGCACCCTTAAAATCTGTGGGTGGCCGTCCATGTTCTGTTTTTCGCGTGAGTAGTTCTGAGTATGCTAATATTGTAATCTTAGAATTCAGAGCAAATACTTCCAGCCACAGTTTGCTGTAGCATTGTTCGTTAATACTTTTAAGCACTATTCAAGACGTTAAATCAGGGTATGCGAATTCAGTACCCTTGCAAGTTCGAGGGAAGAAGAAAAGCGGTGAAAACTTCGACAACATTGATTGCGTACTAAACTGAATATTTAACACGCACGCAACGCACTGGACTTGAAATTTGTAATGAAACGAAATGTACAGAATTTTTGTGACATCAGATAAGACTTCTTAAAACGAAGCATTTAATTTCTGGAGAACTCTAAAGTCTACATAGCTTTTTAACCATCGATCATCACCTCTTGATCACTTAGCTTTCAGCCGACACAACCATCCGTTTTAACAGGTTAAGATCAAAGGCGAACTTTGTATATCCTGTTGAATTGTTCCTCCGTAATTAATTCACGTGTAAAGATATAGGCCCGAAAGATCTCCTATTTCTGGTTTCTAGGCGACTCAACTAGTCCCGTAACCATCTCAAAAGTGTTTGAACAAATTTTCGCTAGAGAATAAAAGTAGTGCATAGATAGGTGATAATTAACGACAGCGGATTTGTCATTTTGAAAAGTTTTAGGCTAAAGTTATACTAATTGTTTTGAAATCATTGATCTGGAACAGAAGTATAGTTTACGTCTGACGTGAAAACACTCGTGTTTTAGGCGAGAACAAAGCGCGTGGTGACATAACTGTCATTATTTTTCTTTGTGTTGGAGTATACAGTTAGATATGTGTAACTGAAAGGACATTGAGCGGAAATGTTACATACTATACTATAAAAACGGTTTCTGCGACAGGAATTAGAGAAACGCACAACATTTATTCTATATTTATATAAGGCTGGTAATTCCTACTGAAAACTTTTTTTTTTCTTCACGTGTAATCCTGGTTTAGTCAGTCTATTTTGGGGATTAATATAAATGAGGCGTTGTTCCCACATACATGTATGTAAGTATATATCGTAGTGATGTGGTAATGCGGTAAAAACGAGGGCCTTTTTGTCTCCTAACTTTCCTTCTTGAATTAATATTGGCCTTTAGCCAGAAGCAAATTCATGAGTCAACCCGGTTGAGCAGTCCTAAAACGTACTTACCAGTCGAGGTTAAAGAGCGCGGAATGCAATCGAATAGTGAGCGCGAAAACTACGATGTCTTGTGGGGATCGCGGCCGAGAACGAGGCCTTCGAGAAATTCTAAGCAAACTTTTTTTTCTTATATTTTAGTAGCTCTTAGTTCGTCGAGCATGAAATATAGGAACGTGCTCACCAGCAATATCACGCAGTATGCAATCAGTGCAGTAATATGGCTTGGGTTTGGGGTATAATCACTTGTTGTAGAATAGTGATTTTTTCGTTTCTACGAAATTTCTGTTTTAGAAGGGAAAATCAAACATACAAGTCGTTATCTGCGATTTACGTTATTGAAAAAAACTTATAAACGGCACAAAAACAAGTAGAGTGATCTGTCGCTAAATATACCAAGGCAAAAAAAAAAATTACAATTGTTTTTAATGCCACTATAGGCCACGGTAGCGCAAGATAATATTATTAGGGACCTTAAGATACGAGGACTGGAAGGCCAGGACGGCAACGGCAGTGGACGCGGGAAACTTTCGCGGGTCCCGTCGTGTCGCCAAAAACAAAATGCTTAAGATGTGCATTTTCGCAAAGGACTGCTACGTCAATAATTCGAACCTCGTACAAGCTATTTACAGAAGCAATGACATCCATTAGACTATAAAAGAGATGATAGAAATCTTATCCTATTAGGCTTAAACGATAGTGAACAGCGATGCTGAATTTCTGTTTCTTTATAAGCGAAGCAAACATCTGTCAATATTTTAATAGAGAAACCATAATAACCGTATGAAAAAATTAAACGAACAATCTGATCGACCTGCTTCAGATGGCTTTTTACCACTAAAGCGTTTGGGAATTCTGTCGCCGAAGAATCCTGACTTTTGGTGAACGTCTCAATTTCCATCTGTAATTGTAACTAGCATTATAAAAATCAAACAAACGTTGCATCAAGTTCCGGGTAGTATAAAAAATCAACAACTAAACATCAGTTTGAAAATGTGTATTTTATTTGCTCGATAGATACTCCATGGCATTCATTCTTACAATTACTTATCGACTGTACTTACACTGATGTATTCTCAATGCATACAGTTTGTATTGAGCTTGCGCAATCGTGATAGCGTCTGCACAGTGGCTGCAGAAACACAAACGAACAGACGAGGAATATTTTTACTCACATTTTCGTATCTCAACGAAGTATTGTACACCACAATCGCAAAAACTGTGAACCTTATAAACATTCCTATCAATATAACTGAAAATAAAGTCGATCGGAACAGTTATCGGGGCAAAACAAGAGCAAAATACTCACGTCTTCGATACGACGGCTAGTCGGGCGAAATGGCGTCCTCGACGAGATGAGGACGGCAGAGAGATGAGTCGAGAGTTCTCGTGCGCATGCCCGGTTGAGTCACTTCACTTCCGGCAGCCGTCCTAGCTCGTCCCGTCCTGGTATCTTAAGGTGCCTATTTTTAGCAAAACGGAAAAACTGTTATACGAGTTAGCTCAACGGACCTTTGATTGCCTTCGCAGCAATCATGATCAGCTACAGCTACCCTTCTACTCGTTGGTTCTTTGTGTAAGCAGGTTCTGTCAATTTCAGGCTTTGCAGCTTTCTTTAAGTTTGAGGGCTGCTCCTACAAAACAACATAGGGCGATAATGACTGACCAAATGTGCACGTGCGTGTGCGTGTGAGGCGCTTGCGTGTGTGCGCGCGTGAAGAGCGCGTGTGTTTTCAGCTACATATCTATCCAGAGATTAATTCTGAGACGAATTTTCATGGATAATCCATCTTATTTGTAAAGAACCGGCGTGGCCGACAAAATGTTAGCTATTAAGATAGACTGTCCGCCTTCAAGAGACTTCATTGCCAGACTATCGCATGCATAATGCGTCATTGATTTGTTCCTGAACTGTGTCAGCGTTAAAACCATTTACGCGAGAGATGTTTAAAGTTTTGTTGCGTTCGCCCAATTTCAGTGCAATTTTAGTACGATCTGCAACAATTGCCATGAAGTGTGATGAAATGAGTGGAGGTTTTGAATCGGAGGATTTACGCATATCTTATAAACAGAGATTGTGTTGTTTTCGTCGTAACTTCGAAATCTCCGGCGATATCACGCTGAAATTGCATTAAAATCATAGCTGATTTACACGAGCAATTTGGAATTGTAAACTCAGGCGCAACAAAAGTTTCTGTAGAAATCGCGACAAAAACTGCACAAGCAGAAATGGCCTGCGTAAATGGCCTTTTAATGTCACTTCAAGAAAGACCAAATTAGTGCTGAGAATGACACATTACTGAATTTCCCTTCCAGCTACGGCAAAACATCCCAGGGGGATCATGAACACCGCATACGACAATTCAGAACGCCCACACACCCCCTCGTACATAGGAAACTACGAGTCCTTCCCTGAAAATGGACCGGGGGCCTCGTACGTGTACCGGGAGGAGCCACCGGTGAAAAAGGCTCCCTTGCCTTCAAGTTCAAGTACAGTTGGGTTTCTACCTCCGGAGAAGAAGGCGCAACATGGCCGAGATCGACGTGGCAAGGACTTTATTGTGGTTGCTTTGCTCATATTTTTCATGGCTGTGGCTATTGTCATGGTGGCACTGTATTTCTCGAGAGATTCTCAAGATGAAAAGGTTACCGAAAATGGTGAACAAACGGTAAATATCATACTCCTGATTTCTGTTGTTCTCAAAGAGCGTTTAGAAACCCGGGAGGGAGAGTCTGGGCACAGTCGAGCGGAGTTTGTCTTTTGCCACTCCACTACCTTTCCGGCATCAAGACCTAGAAACGCAAATATATAAGTTAATCCAGGTTTAGCGCGTTCCAGTCCTATACCGAGAATACAAAAATGATCAATTCTACACAATAAGGTTAGGGACGATCCTTTTTCTTTTCTTGACCGGGGAGGGGGGTGCAGTTAGGTAATTTCCCAAAAATCTCCCGCACAGCAAAAACTACTGAAAAATAATCGTGCAAGGGTGGGGTCCCCCCACATCAAAAAAATAATGGCCCGCCCCTTGATCGATCAACCAAGGGCAAAGTTACATAGGAGGAATACTGATCGCGGTATTTGTGATGCGCTCTTAACAGGGAAATACTCCGACTCCACCGCCCCTGTGCCGCACGCTCCCGAAACCAGTTGCTTTCAACACGCTGCCTCAACGTATCCAGGATGAACTGAGCTCTATGGAGTCTCTCTTTGAAGAACAAATCAAACTTGGAGGACCGGTTAGTGTTTTTGATTTTTTTTTTTATTGTTGTTTTCAGTGTAGTTGTATTTGTATTGAGCCTGTTACTAGCTGAGCATTATCAGCCCAGTCAGCCAATCAGGATTCAGCTGAAAAAATGTGCAACCGGTGAAAAGCGCGGGAAAAATCCCATAGGCCAATTCACGTGAGGCTTAAGGCTTGCGACTGATTGGCTGAGAAGAAAGAACTCGGCTACTCGTGCAAAAGCGATACAACTGCTAAGGAAAAATCATTTGGGCCGGCAATTGAGTTCTGTTTACCCTGTGTTAAGAATGCATCGCGTTTTTAAAAGTTGCCAACTTTTCAAGAATAGAACACTCAGCAGCTTACTTAATCATCCATTCGAAACAGTAAAAAACTGTGAAATATTACACACTAAAATAGTTAGTGAGATAATGTACTGAGAGTTGCTATTATCTTATGATTTGTAGAGTGCCGTAACAGCTAACATCGTGTACATGGACAAGGTCATTTGGCAAGGAGAGTATGGCGTGCTGAACAATTCCCAAATACCTAAGCGTAAACCTACAGATGAAACTATATTCCCCATAGCCAGTGTTTCAAAGGTTTTAACGGTGAGAAAAATAACTGAAGCAGCTATAATATAGTTGTGTGTTGAATTTAATTTCTTACATATCACACGTGAACTGTAGGGCTGGACTGGCTGGGGGTTCAGGGAAAGTCTCGCCGCGGCCGCGCCTAGCACACGCCAACAACGCATTCAAAGCACGCAATTCAGAACAGAGCACTACACAATTCAGTCATTTGTCACAACTTGTAACTAAGCCAAGTTTAGCAAAGCTGGCATGATAAAATACCTATTGACTGAGTTAGGTCGGACCGGACTGGAAAATATTTGGCTCTGGTCAGATATACGTAAGGACCTCGCCATGCTCCGCCAGCCGGTCCGATTTTTTCTTTGTCAGTTAATTGTCAGGCGTTACGTTACTTACCGTTACGTAAGTTGCGTTACGTTGCGTTAATTATGCTGCTAGACCAGTATATTCCTAGAAACAAATTAATTGCCTTACCCACATATTATTCCAGGTTCTGATGCTCTATAAGCTGTACGATAATGGCTTTGTAAACTCACTTGACGACTCAGTGACTGATTATCAAACCAACTTTTTAGTCAAAAATCCGTATGGCAGTGCCCCAATCACTCTAAGGTGAGGCTTCAACTTTACTATGGCATTTCGTGCGCTTTTGATCAGTGGCAAATCCAATTCAAATGCATCGATATTAGGGGCGGACTATCATTTATTGGGTGAGGTGGGGGAGGTTGGGCAATATCCCAAATAACAAAAAATCCTGCAAAGCAAAAACTGCTGAAAAAAAATCGAGCAAGTGCTCTCCACTATCCAGGTCCTGTTTTTGATGCTAAAAGAATTCTTGCACAAGCTATCACCCACCAAAAAAAATCATGCGCGACCTAAGGGTGAAAACAAATTCAGGGCTCAGAAAATTGGCCACTCCCTTGCCTCCCCACCCTCAAAAGAATAATGGTTTGTCCATTATTACGGGTCTTGTCCGCGTGAGGGTTTCTTCAAAAAGTCTCGAAGGACGCGGGAAGCTCTTAGTGAAATACGTGATCACTTTGTCTCGTTCTTTTGCTATTATCTTATTTCACAGGGAGCTTGCATCTCATCGTTCTGGTCTTCCAAGGGAGGCGCCGTGTTATCCTGACACGAAAACAAATTTCTGCCCATACACCAATGATCAGATGATTCAGCGAATGAGAAACGTGACCCTCTTGCATGAACCTGGGAAAGAGCCATATTACAGGTTGGAAAATTTACCCTCTAATAGGCCATTTCCGAGTTACCTTGTGCCTCTGTTTCAAAACGAGTCTTCGTGTAACACCTTTCATAAGAAAATGAGTTTGATTTTCGTGAAAATGAACATGTAGGCTGGTACATTTCTATATGAGTGGTTTCGTACTTAGACTCGTTTTGACACAGAGGCTAATGGCACTCAGAAATGGCCCTCAGAAATGGCCATTACTATAACGCAATACGACACATTTTCTGAAAGGGTCTATCTCATTTTATCATGTGAATAACCAGAGCTCCTATCCACAAGTGTAAGAGTGGTGGGGAATTTGGCCGGAAGTCGTCAAGGTGTTAGAAATTAAGAGTAAAAAAGGCAGAAATCTTTTTCTAGGCGTGGTCTAAGTTCATTTCTACTCCATAAAGGTATCAATACCGGCTTTTTTATTGCTCTAGGCCGGGTGTCATGTCAGAGACAAACGTTTGACAACTAGCACCTGTTCAATGACGGGTGTGTTAGCAAAAATTGTGTTTATGCTCCCGTTCCCATCTGTCTTTTGCTCTGACCCGCTATCCCATAATAAATAGGAACTGTAAAACTCTGAAATGAACTAATCCTGTGTGATGTTACGCGATATCAGGCAAGAGGGGACTGGACACTAGCCTTTTTTCGTACTTCGTAGTTCACCTTTTTCTCATTCCTATTAAATACCTAACAACCTGGTTTATACCTTGCCTAGTCCCAAGCTCTCACTATTCCAGTATCCCGGTTAATCCCATTTGGGTCAGCCGCTCGTCTCCAGATACGTCACCGAATGAGGTCACTGTGAAGTCCTGGGAAAAAGTCACCCAGGAATTCAAACCAGGCCAAGTAGTAGCAAGGCGCTCAGTCACCCACCAAAATTACCTCTCAAAAGTACGTACGACTTGTATTCTCTGCTAGGGTATTGCATTCTACCAGGACGTTAGGAAACGCTTAACATTTTCTGCATGTCTTTTTTTCCTTTCTTTCTGCTTAGTAACCTCGGATTTGCACTGCTCGGTCAGGTACTGGGTCAGAGATTCGGAAACGGATACGAAGGATGGATGAGGAACAATATCTTATCAAGATTTGATATGTCAAACACATTTTTCAATCTGGATGACAGGTACACCAGGATAATAGAAGAGAAAACAGAAAACAAAGACATTGAAAATAAAAACAATCGATTTATACACTCTGGGCCACATTTGATATGTCAAACACATTTTTCGCTCTGGATGACAGGTACATCAAGATAATAGAAGAGAAAAAGGAAACAAAGACATTGAAAATAAATACAATTGTTTATACCCTCTGGGCCAGGTCTGGGGTAATTTATTTCCTTGTCGTTTGAAGAGATTAAAAAAAAAAACCATACGTAATAATTAGGAACTACAGTAGAAGCCCGGTGACTCGAACTCAGATAACTCGAACTCCCCCACTAACTCGAACCAAGTCCCATTTCCCTCGGATTTGACCCTACTTTTCAGTCATTTTAACTCAGTTAACTCGAACTCGGATAACTCGAATACCCCGCTAACTCGAGCTAGATTTCGTTTCCCTTGATAAAAATTTACTCCGATAACTCGAATTAATTCTGGATCATGTAACTCACCAGGGATGTCATCCCATAAGCTTTTCTTGTGGTGTAATCGGTAAAAACACTCAAAACTAACACTACAGGAATTTGATTTTAATTAGTGCAACCGACCGTTCACATATTTGACAGTCATTGCCCGATGTTTTGAGTCATATTGGATGCTTTCCCTTTATTATCATGGCAAGTTGGATATTCGATCGACCCCGAGAACTCGAACCCCCGCTAACTCGAACTGTTTTTCGTTTCCCTTCAGAGTTCGAGTTACCAGGGTTCTACTGTACTATAATAACCTCTGGCACTAACCTAGACGAAAGTAACAGATGAGGCAGTAGCTCCGCGGGCGAGCAAGATGAACCGAATCCTGAGCTGTGATTGGCTACCCGAGCGGGCAAGATGGCACTATCTTGCTTACTACCCGCTGTGTCCAGCAAGAAAATAGTATTCTTTTTCCATATACTATATCCGTTACTGAAAAAGTTTGTTTGGTCAAGATGGCTGGATATTAGCCTCGTTTCTGTGGTTTTTTTTTTTGTGCGTGTTTATGGATCTCGACTCCTTCTCGGTCCATAAATACGGGAAAAAAAAAGAACTTGGCCAATATCCAGCCATCTTGACCTCACGCTTGGTCAATAACCTACATATCCGGCATATGTATATCAATGAATATTCGCGCTCTTTGTTTGGGTTTTACTGAGGGGTTAAAACTCTATGATACTCTGTTATGGCTTAATGTTGCTTTGTTTTCTTTGCGTTCAGCATAAGGCAGCGTATTCCCGAAAACGAATTCTCAGATCCTACAGAATGGGGCTGGCTGAATCCAACTGGAGGATGTTTTTCAACTGTGGCAGATTTTGCAAAGGTAGCAACTAAACTTAGGGCTGTCACGCAAATTCCTTACTAAGTCTACTAACGGTTAAGCGTTGCGTTACTACCTCCCGAGTGCTTCCCTGTATAGCCCACTCTCCATTTTATCTCTTTCCAGATAGCTAACCTATTCTGTATTAACCCTTGAATTAACCCTACAGCACTAAGATAAACTAACCTTCTAATGTTTGTCTCTTGTTCCTCACTGCCAGCTGGAAGTTGGTCTCTTCACAACCGACTCGAACAATAGATATCTTTCGAAAACCCTCACAGAAGCCTTTTTTTCACCAGGTAAATCTAGTGCTATTGTTTTTAACACCTGTAAACAGATTATTATTTTATACTCTT